GGAAGACTGGAGCAGGAGGACTGCCATGCGCCTGAACAGCAAGGACTACACACAATATCCTAACTCAAAGAAACCAGAGCAAACAGACAAAAATGGGGCTGGGGAAGGAGAACAAATGAGATAAAGCATTACAGAAAGACATTCACAAAAACAATACTCCAATTCCATTCACACAGACTGTCCAGCAGAACAGGCAAATCTCCAAAGGCAAAAAGTGGATTACTGATGGCTGCAGAAGGGGAGTGACCACAGACATACATGGGGTTTCTTTTGGGGTGCTAAAAATGTTCTGCAATTGATTGCGGTAGTGACTGTACAACTCTGGCTATACTAAAACCTAGTGGACTGTACTTTTGAATGAACTTAATGGTAGGCAATTATATCTCTATAAAGCTCTTATTAACTTTGAAAAACCCTATAGGCCACAGTATTGAATAAACAAACATCTTATACTTATCCAGTCTCTGAAGCGTAAGATCTTTGTAGACTTTCAGTCATCCCTTTTGGTTTTCTAAAAATCTCCAATACAAGCACCAAACCTGAAGATTTCAGGGTTTTACTTAGTTGTACTCAGAAGAAAATAGACACATTGATAATAAATAGAAAAAAACACTTTCAAAACTTGGGTCTTCAGGGTAAGATGATCAATCCTCACTTAGAAAGACAAATGGGATGGACATTGGAAGGAGAAAACAAGAACCAGGACAGGAGCCTACAGCAGAGGGCCTCTGAAAGACTCGACCTAGCAGTGTATCAAAGCAGATGCTGAGACTCATAACCAAACCTTCGACAGAGTGCAGGGAATCATATGAAAGAAGGGGGAGTTAGAAAGAGCTGGAGAAGACAGGAGCTCCACAGGACCAAATATATCTGGGCACGGGGTCTTTTCTGAGACTGATTCTCTAACCAAGGACCATGATTGATATAACCTAGAACCCCTGCTCAGATGTAGCCCATGGTAGCTCAGTATCCAAGTGTGTCCCTAATAAGAAGAATAGGGACTGTCTGACATGAACTCAGTGGCTGGCTTTATGACACACACCCCACCCCTCCCCCTCCCAGGGAGGAGCAGCCTTGCTAGGCCACAGAGGAGGACATTGCAGCCAGTCCTGATGAGACCTGATAAGTTAAGGTCAGATGGAAGGGGAAGAGGACCTCCCCTATCAGTGGACTTAGAGAGGGGCAGGGAGGAGATGAAGGAGGGTGAGATTGGGAGGGAATGAGGGAGGGGTGTAGAGCTGGGATACAGAGTTAATAAACTGTAATTAATATAAAAAAATAAAAATTTAATTAAAAAAAACCTAGGTCATTGTTCAGATTCTAGCATCTAGCTTCAAAATGTTAAGTGGAAGAGAACTCTGTCTATATTGCATCTATTTTTTCTTCAAACAATCGTAATCTGGCTTTTCTCCATACCCTAACCCCAACCTGCCTTTTCTAGATAGCAAACTCCCACCTGGGTGCGCTCTCAGTCTCCCCCACCAGTCCTTTTAGCACTACTATTTAACTCTAGTAACAATTCCTTTCTCAAATCCTTCCCAGGTTTTCTCTGCCATCTCTGGTTCCTGCCCCTCCACTCTAATCACACCATCCTTCGAGCACCACACCTTTTCCCTCTCAGCTGCTTCTCAAGATCTATCCTATTCACGCTAAAGCTGCTCATTCTACATGCTTGTCTGAATCAGCTTTTCACTCGAGATGCTCAACTACCTCCTACAACTAACTACCCAGCACCTACATCTGCTCCACATTTGTACTGGACACTTCACAGGCCTTTAACATGTCCCCTCTCCATCTACATTTAACACCTGCCCCTCTACAATCTGGTCTGACCAGCCCTACTTGTTTCTTTTCTTACTCCTTTATCCCCTGTCCTAAATGGTACCTACTAGCTTGAGTGATAGATGTCTCTTTTCCTTTCCTCCCCCAATACTAGTTATTTAGCCACAGCCTAGCCTCGAACTCAGGATCCTCAGCCTTCTGAGTACTGGGACCACGAGTGAGCGCCACCACACTGGGCTTGAGGCTTGTTAATCCTCATCATACCTGTTATTTTCCGTGACTTAATTCAGATAAAGCCCTTTCTGCCAAACAATCAGCTTTCTTAAGGCATTCCACGGCCCTCCAGAGACCCAAGAGAGTATCTTTCAGCTTCTCTACCTGAACATATCCGAGTAAGATGGGGCTTAAAGTAATCTTAAAAAGCAGGCTGGGAAGGTGAGGTATGGGGAAAGAGAGGGGAAGGGAAGACCACAGGAATGTTAAACTAGCACATTTGTTGCTCTCAATAACTTCACTTTCCCCTATGACCCTAAAAGGTATTTCCAACCTGCAGCCTTCAACACACACCCCAGGGTAGGGTAAAACGTGTCCCAACACCAAACTGTAAACTCATTTAAAACATAATGAGACTTTTTTTTTCCTAGAGCTTTGTTCTGTTTTGTTAACTCAACTGCATGGTTTCCAATGTGAATTTATAAATGACAAATTGCTGTTGCAATGTCAAAAGGTTGGACATGCCTGCTAGAGATGCAGGAAAGATCAGTATACAATTACTGTGATGGCCCTACAGAAAATTTTAATATTAAATATATTAAGATCCTTCATGAAGTAGAGGAGGAAAATAAGGAGAACCCACCATGACCTCCTTCTCACAGTTCAAACCCGACCTGTTTCAGGCATCACCTTTTTTCGGCATTATATATCGGCCCTATGGTCCTCAATACGGCTTAAGATTAACTCTCCGCCAGTCAACTTCAGAGAACCATGTATGGAGTAAAACCTACCCTTAGCTGTAGAGCTGTCTCCGACTCCATTAAGGGCATTGGCTATTCTAGAAGACCCGGGGTTCCATTCCCAGCGCCCATTAGAAAACTCACAATTGTCTGTAACTCCAGTCCCAGGGTAACACCTGCTCCTGGACATCAGGCATGCATATGGTACACTGACATACATATAGTCAAAATATCCATGCACATTAAAAAAAAAAAAAAAAAAAAAAAACCAAACCCCAATTCCATCATTTAAGTCTAAAAGTTGAGAGCAAAAATCACGGTGCAGACCTGTCACAAATTAGTTATTTGTTTTATTAGCAAAATTAGCATGTCCCTCGCCAGGTGTGGTGGCGCACACCTTTGATCCCAGCACTCAGGAAGGCAGGGGCAGGCAGATCTGTGGCAGATAAGAGTCTGAGGCCAGCCTGGTCTACAAAGAATAGCCAAGGCTACATAGAAATCCTGTCTCAAAAAAACAAACCAAAATAAACAAATAAATAAAATGAATTTTTAATCCACCTCAGAATTTAAAAATAAAAAAAATAAATAAAATAGAATTTACTGGCTCATCTTTGATTCTTTTTCCATGACACAGGGCAGTTCCTTTCTAGCCTTCTAGTCAAGGGGAAAAAAGCAGAGCCACTGCCAAAAAGTCTTAATTATAGCTATTGCTTATCAAGTCAGGAAATTAGAAAAGCAAGAACTATAAAAGAATAGCTTTAGTCATCAAATCTCTAATGTAAAACTACTTAGCTATAGGTATCACGGAAGAATGGGAACAGATTTGGTCCTTGTGAAATGACATCTCCAATAGGAATCCCTGACTCATCTCCAAAGCATGAATCCCAAGGCTACATCCCCTGTCCAAAAGTTCAGGGACTGGGCACCTGTCTGGATGGCCTGCATTACCAAACAACGCTGCCTGACAGACTATGTCCAGGAACAGCAAGATGACCAGCATAGAAACAACAAACAGCCAGGGACCACACAGCCCCTTCCATAACCAAGAAAGACCGAAAGCCATTAGTTTGAAACATCCTAAATAAACAATTTTCTTCAGCTTTCACTACGGAGTAGTAAAAAGAAGACTAACCAAATTTGTAAATGATATCATTCAAAAGCTACTAAAATAAAAATTCTCGATGAGAAGGGAAAAATGTAGTTTACCCTTGCACCTTTTCCAAAACATCATCTAAATAAAAGGAAATGTTTAAAATAACGGATAATTATTTGATCTACATTTTTCAGTCTTCACCATATATTAAACAAAACCTCGCTCCTACTTCCTACTTTTATAAATGTGAGGTGGAAATCACAAAGCCACACAATACTATTAATACTGTGCAAGGCCAATGGTCTATTTTTCAAGCTATGAGCAATTTTAATACTCAAGCTTTACGAGACAGAAATCTCAAAATGTGAAGGCCTACTTCATTGCTGAAAGTCACTTCATCCGCACTTTCAAATAAAAACTGGCCAACATCTCGTGCGTAGCCACTCATTTTTAAAGACCTCAACTGTGTATGGCTTTTCACAGCCAAATTTCAGATTTAACTGATTATTCTCAGAAGAGCACCTTGTCCGGAGCAAAATTTTCCCTAGCTCTTCTGCTATTCCCAACCCCCGCTAAAGAGCAGCGAAGGACTTCCCAAAGTCCCATTTCCTTTTCCATTCCCCAGACCTCCAGGGTTTACAACGCCCCAGTCTTGCGCAACATCCGTAGGAGCAGCGGCCGCAACCACCGCCTCCTAAACCGGGAAACAACCCTGGAGGGAACATTGTCCAGCAGGAAAATAAAAGGAGCGGGGAGGGGGCTAACGTAGGAAGTCAGCTCCTGGCCCCACGCCCTCGGATTTGACACTCCCCCCCCCCCCCATCACACACCTAGAGCAATTTCACGGACTAGACTTTTAACCCTCGTCTCCACTCAAGCCTGCCTACACAGGCAGAGGGCGGAAAGGGGGGGGGGTGGCGGAAAAGGGGGGACGGGAAGGTTATCTCCCAGTTCAGGGCTTCAGACCACACGGTCGCCTCCACCCCACCAGGACCATTGTTCCTAAGCTCCCACCCCCACCCCGGATAGGAAGTGATAGTCACATCCCCTCCGGCATCGGCAATCTCCCCGGAGAGTCCAGAGAGAGCTTCCTTCGGGATAACCCCATCCACCCTGAGCAAGCCCCCTCCATCCCCCACTAAAGTCACACCGGCCTCGAGACCACCCCAAACCTGGGTCTCCGGAAGGGAAGGAACCGGGCTGGATAAGTGGAGATCAGGTAAACCGTGAGATTCCTTGTGCACGACCCTTTGGCAAGCGGTGAGCCAGGAACCGCGAACTCCGAGCCGGCGCGGTCTCCGCGCCCACTCCGACCCAGGGCGGCATCGGGAAAGGGGACCCGGCGTTCCGCCGACACCACCCTCGCTCCCCAGCAGCCTCCAGCCGCTCGGTCGGCCGCAGCCAGACCGCTCGCCGTCGGCCCTCCCCGGAGGGGCAGGCGGGGCAGGCGGGCGTGGGAAGGCGAGCCCGCACCCCGGCCGCCGCCGCCGCCCGGCCGGCCCGGGAGACAATAGGTAGTCGCGGGCGGGCGGCGGGGCCGGAGCGGGCTGGGCCCGGCGGCCGCTCCCTGCGCTCCCGGGCCGCGCGGCCCCGCGGAAGAAAGGAGGCTGAGGGGCGGGGGGGACCTCGCCTCCCGCGGGCTCGCCGACGGCGCGCGCCCCGCACACAAAGCGCTGGCAGCCCCGGGCGGCCGGGGGAGGCGAGGGGAGCCGGCCCGGGGCGGGGGCCGGCGGCACGAGGCGGCGGCGAGGGCGGACACTCACCATGAAGTCCCGGGCGAAGTTGTCTTCCCCATTGTGGTCCGGACTCTTCATGGCCTGGACCCTCTGGATGAACCTCCGCAGGATCTCCACTTGCTCCATCCTCCCGCGTCCCCCCCGCCGCCCGCCCGCGCGCCGCAGCGCCCGCTCCGTCTTCCCCAGCTCGCTCCGGCCCGCCCTCCCTCTCTCGCGCCCTCCCTCCCTCCCTCCCCGCCGCGCGAGGCGGCTGCGGCTGCGGCTGCGGCTGCGGCGGCACCGGCCCGGCTCCCCCGTGCAACTTGCAGAGCAGCTCCGCTTCCCTCCCTCCGAGGCGAGCCGCGGGCTAACGCCGGGCCCTGCCCCCAGCTCGCCCCATCCTCCTTCCCCGCCCTCCTCTGTCCCAGACGCCGCCGCCGCCGCCGCCGCCGCCTCAGGAACACCGCTCTCCGTCCGCCCTGCCCCCTTCCCGGTTCTTCCTCCCCCCCCACCCCCCTCCAGCAGCCGCAGCCGCCTCTCCCCACGGGCGCGCCCCCGCCGCCACCCAGACGCGCGGGCCCGAGCGGCGGCCCCGCCCCGAGGAAGCACCGCCCCCGCCCGCCGGCCCGGGCCCGCCCCCGCCCGCTGAGTGGCTGGAGGCCGCTTCCGGGGCGGGGCCCTCCCTGGGCGGGGCGGGACCCTCCCTGCGCGCTCGCCCCTCTCTGCGGGGAGGTCGCGCTCCGGTGGCGCTGTGCATCGGGCAGCGGGGCCGAGCCTCGTGGGGCAGACCGTAAGCTTGAGATGCGCCCGCGGTCTTCCGGTCTGGCGGGGAGGAAAAGCCGATGGCCGCGGGCTGGGGCTACGAGACCGCGCCCCGAGGGGCGCCCGGAGCGGGGTGGGACCGAGGTATGCTGGGAACTGTAGTAAAGTCACCGCCGCCTTCGCGGCCCGGAGGTGCTCTTCTTGACTAATGGCTCGGCGAAGGGCACCTCAGGCTTCGGCACTTTGGCTAGGAGAGGCCAGTGGTTCCTTGCAAATCCGTTTTAGCCCCAGTAAGAAGCTTGTCATTCAGAGCGCGTCCTTCACAGCACACGCACGGTAGGAACCGTTTGCAAGTGGAGGACAGTATAGCTTCCTGTCTTTATTCTCACGGTTTCAGAATCGAATGGGAAACATTCCTTCGCAGAATAGAATCTGTGACTCTTACCAGAGGACACGCTGACACAACCTGTCCTCTCACAAAGTGACTCGCCCGAAGTCCAGCCCTCCCCCCGCCCCGGGGCGTTTTCCTGTAGAATCCGAAGTAGAACGCGAGTTCTTGGACTCTAGCCACGCGCTGCCTCTCGAACGGACAAGAGTCTGTGTGGTGATATTGTGCAACTAAAAGATTTGATCCGCGGACTGACTTTGCTCTCCTGCACCCACAAACAACAAACGTGTTCAGAGAGCAGGTTGCCAGGAAAGAGAGGAAATACCAATGAAGGATACATTTCCTAAACTAATGTTTAGCTGTACAGTGAGATTTAATGTAAAAAAAAAAAAATTCGAAGACAACAAATCTGAGTAGCAATATACAATTACATTTTAAAGTAAAATGCAGAAAAGAACGCACCTAATATATTACTAACCCGTTTCTCTCAGAAATGGGTTCTTGCAGATGCGTCCTTCCAAATCTTTCCCTACATTTCTATAAATACGTGTACCTGTAAAGACAGCTTTGGTTTGACTTTTAAAACAGTCTCAGTACATAACCCAAACTGCCCTGGCCCTCTCCGGCCTGCTGACTCAGCCTTTCGAGTGCTGGGAGTGCGGGTGACTGCCACAGTGTCCGTCAAGAGATACAGTTTTGCCCTATAGTTAAACATTCAGGTTCCGGAAATGGTAAAGCAGGCTTACAGTATCCCCAGTCAGGAGTCGGAGGCTGGCAGAGGCTACCTAATAAAACCTTTTTCTAAAAACTGAATGACTTCGAGGAATACTTTTCATTTCTAAAGTCAGCTTTTGAAAGGGGTGTCTGTAGTAATTTAACCCACCATAAAGGCTAAATTTCAATGAATGTGAGCAAAAGAATTTGGGTCCCAACGCGACAAACTAGGAAGATGGTCAAGGAATGCCTTCACTTTCATTTATGTGTCTTTATATTTTGGTTTCTCCGAGACTCTGTAACCTGGGCTGGTCATGAATTCATGCCATCTTCTTGCCTCAGCCTCACTGGTGCTGAGAGGACAGGCTTGGGCCACTGTGACTGCCTGCACTTTTGAGCTGTCCAAAGAATGTAAAAACCAGGTAGCCATTAGTAAGTGGACATGCTTCGTAAGAACTGTTGGCAGTCTGATGAGGAGCAGGCTGAGTCTGATTTGGCCTAATGTTTCGTAGGGTTTCCTTTCTCCATATGAGAAAACTCTCAAAATGCTTGAGGGTTTCTTGAGTTCTCAGCAGCTACTTTTGGCACTGTATATAGGTTAGTGAAAATTAAAGTATCTCTGAAGAGCCCGTCTATTTTGGAAAGGCTTAGCTTTCCTTGATGATTTATCTGGCTAATTTTGTCTTTAACTTTTCTTACTGTTAGAAATTGTACAAAATAGTGAGTTTCGCTATGATATCTTCACACGTGCATGTCATATTCTTTGCTTATTTCCTCGTCCCATCACCCTTTCTCGGCCTCCCTCCTTGTGTCCTTCCTTCTCCCAGGCTTCCCTCTTCTAAATATATTTTGGATGCCAACAAATGACTCAGGGTATAAAGGTACTTTTAACCAAGGCTGATGACCTCTTTGTTCCCCGGAAGAAGAGAACTTTCTGTAAGATGACCTCCATGGACCCACCCCTCCCGCATACAAATAAAAAAATCTAGAATGTCATAAATATATTTGGGTCTTGTTTCAATCTACATGTCTTTTGAGCCACTCAAAATATGAAAGGCTATATGGTGTGTGTGTCTGTGTGTGTGTGTGTGAAAATGTTTCAGGAAAACTCCTTTACCTAAGAAGTGTATATCTTCAGAAGACAGAAATAAGTTTGTAAATGCTAAATGAGAGGTTTAAAACAAGTGATTTAAGAGTGGTGAGAAAAACATTACAGAGGAAGCTGTGAGAGAATGAGTTGATGAGTTGTGTCGGGATAGGTGAGTTTGAACAGGAAGGAGAAGACCCAGGCGAGAGAACGTGAAACAGAGGTTGGTTGGAAGGAGCAGAGCAGAAGTTTAGAATGGATGTCATGTAAATGCGGCAGCTCCACAGCAGACTGCTGCCTGGAAAAGGATGAGCACTTAGTTAAGAATTCACACTTGACACCGAGGACACTGGGAGCCACCAAAGATGTCTGCTGTTAGAAATAAAATGAGATTGGGAAAAATATTAACCTGAAACACACACACACAAAAGTTGTGAATTAATAAAGGTAAAATGAAATGAAAGCTACCAGGACACAAAGCACCAGAAGTCAAAACTGAAGTGCAAAGACAGAGGTGGAAAGGAGAGACTACAGAACCCAGAGTTAGGCAACTGACATGGGATAAAGAGGGAGAGTGGATAGAAAATGGCAAAAGTTAGGGCTGGGACATAGCTCAGTGGCAGACATTTGCATACCATCCATGAAACCATGTGTTCTACCTTAGCTTTACACAAGAATCATGATTTTCTATGAAGCTAATTTTAAAAAAAAGAACACTTTATATATTTTGACATGGAATGGTCCCAAATACCTATTTGTTGCCAAAAAAAACATGGAACATTTTGGATATACTATTTATGCATTTGTTTACAGTTTAAATGTGTGTAAAATGTATACTCAAATCATTTTTTTCCCCTGAAGAGTACTTTAAAAACTATTAGCTGGAAAAAAACAAAACAAAACTGTTGGCTGTGGCTGCCTCTAGAGAGCCTTGGGAATATAAGATGATTTCCTTCTATTTTTAAAAAAATATTGTGTGGGTGTGTTTGGCAGAGATATGTACAGGTGTCCTTAGAGGTCAGAACAGGGTGTCAGATTCCCTGGAGTGGGAGTTAGAGATGATTGTCGGTTGCCTGCTGTGAGTACCACAACCTGAACTCAGGTCCCCTGGAAGAGCAGCAAGTGTTCTTAACTAGTTTCTGAGACAATGTCTCAATATGTAGCCAAAGCTGGCCACAAGCTTGCTATGTAGGCAGACCGGCCTCAAATGTATTGTCCTACTGCCTCAACCTCCCAAATGCTGGCATTCTAATAAGTGTGTAACATATGCCCAAGGCTGTATATCCTTTCATGTTGTGAATATTTTGCTATTCAAATGTATTGATTTTCCCAACAAATTAAACGCTATTCCAAGTGGTGTATGAAGAATGCCAGTGTCTCTTATGAAACAGGTAAGTAATGAGTATAGAAGGCAGGCCTTGTTCTGGGGAAGTTGGGTTTTTTGAGGTAAGGTCTCATGTAGCCCATCAAGCCTTAAACTTGCTATGCAGACAAATACAGTCATGAATTCCAGATCCTCTTGCCTCCACCTCCCAAGTACCGGGATTACAGCGTGTGGTCCCATTTTCTGCTGGATTTGTTTGTCTGTTTGTTTGATGACAGACGGGAAGCTATGGGTACTATCATAGTTTTCAGGGAACTTTAGTGTCTTCATCCTCAGCTACACCTGAATGTTTGGGCACTTATGTTATTACCCAGTTTATCAATCCTTATAAACTGACCAGTGTGAGCTATGGCTTGGTATAAGAAGGTCATTTGAGCCAGTTGCTTCTCACAGGAATCTGAACTTAGAAACCAAGTCAGAAGTTGTTATGTAATGAGGGCAGGAGTGAAATGTAGGAGGTAGGATTAGGTTTTGGTGGGGGTGGGGGTGGGATGACAAAGGACGAGAA